GGGAAAGGGAACAGAGAGGGGGCGTGAGCCAGGCTGAGGGGGGACCCTGGCAGGGACAGCATGTCCCAGAGCTGCCTGCCATGTCCCAACCCAGCAGCATCAGAACACAATTTAGGGGACAGGAAGGCTGCTCCTGCAGCCTCGTTGGGCCAGCCAGGCCATGCCAGGGCTGCACAGAGCAGTGCATGCAGTGGGGACAGCATGGGGCGAGACAGGGTAGCAGCAAGCCCAGGGCTCCATGTTGGCACTGTTAACACACCGAGAGAATCTCTTACCTGACACTGAGCGACTTGGGAAGCAGGTTGTGGAAGGAAAGAGAGAGAGAGAGAGAGGATTTACAAAGAGAATGGCAAGAGGACAGTGTGCCTGTCCCTTCCATGCTGCCGGGTGAGGTGTGCTGCCGATCCCGTGCTTGGAACTGTCACGCTGTCTGCGGAGATGGGACTCCCATGGGGCACTTCTCAGCCAGGCACCCATGAAGCAGCAGGGGGTTCTCTAGGGGCACCCACAGCCTGGGCTCTGCACTGCCCACCCCACCAAAGCTCCCTCTCCAGCCCCGGCTGGCTGTCCCCTGGTGCTGACCAAGCTCCCCAGATATGCTGGGGGCTGAGCACACTGCCCAAGAGCATCCTGCTGCGCACCGTACGCATGTGTGACATGTGTCATCCCTTTGTCACATCAGCCAATGACAGCATGGGCACCATGGCGCAGGAGCCAAACACCAGCGTCCAGTCCACCTTTTCCATCGGGGCCATGCCCCACGACACCAGGACAAGAAGCCCAGAGGCCCCGTGCCCTTTAGTCCCTGCCAGCCCGCCTGGTGAGCCTGGCACCCACCAGCTGCAGCCAGGCAGGGAGTGCAGGCAGCCGGCACTGCCTGTGGGGAAGGGTCCCTCTTGCACCTCCCGGGCACGGCCATGGCACCATCCAGCCTCACACGGCACAGCGAGGGCCTGCGGGCAGACAGGCCGTGGAAGGGTTTGCCTGGGCATCTCCTCCTGCACAGGTGGGGAAAGGGGACTGGGTGGGTCTGTGGCAGCGGGTGCTTTCTGGGAACTTGATGGGGTTCTGCAGTCACACCCCACCTCTGAGCTACACTGGTTTCTCTCCCATGTCTTCCCAGCAGAAATCCTCAAACCTGTGGATGCTGCCCCTGGGACCACCAGCTTGGCCCCCCCGTCGCTGCCCTGATGCCAGTGCAGCTCTCTGTGGGATGACTCCAGCGGGCTGCTGGGTGAGCCTTGTGCTGTGCCGGCGCCTCGGTGCTCGCCAGCATCCTGTGCCCGTCTCTACCCATGTCCCATGGTGGGAGGGACGGTACCCTCCATGGTGGGGGGACGTATTGGGACAGAGCCAGCCACTCCTGCATCCCATGGAGACAGACAGAAGGGTGCCCAGCACTGCTCCCAACCCTGTGGGGGGGCTGGGCTTTTACAGGGACCCCCAACTCACTGCAGGCCCTTTCCTCTGCAGCCCGTGGCCCCGCAACCCTGCTGGGCACTGAGCTCTCTGCCCACGCCCGCACCATCTACCGGCCCTGGTTCTCACCCTACAGCTACTTCGTATGCACCAAAGGAGCTGCCCAGCAGCACCCGAGCCTCTCCTCCAGCCTAGCCACCAGCACCCAGGAGTGTGAGGAGCCTGATAACCTCTCAGAGATCATCTGCTCCTCCTCTGACTCCTCAGATGAGCCCCAGCCCCCCAACAGGAACAGGCTGGCCAGCAGCAGAGCCAGAATCACCATCCAGGACATTTTCGCTGCTTCCCAGTTGCAGCCAGTGCCCCAGCACAAATACCAGTGCATGTCGTGCTGCCGCATCTTCCCCACGCTGTGGTCGATCAAGACCCACATCCAGAACAGCTCCCAGGAGGGCTACAGCTGCAAGGTGTACTACCGCAGGCTCAAGGCCCTGTGGGAGAAGGAGCGCAAGGCGCAGGAGTCTGCAGCCCCCAGGGTGCCTGTGTAGCCCCATCAGCCAGGCAGCCGCCGCGGGAGGGCACTGCTCCATCGCTCCTGCCAGCGACAGAATAAATTGTTTTAGGAGCAGCCAGTCCTGTCTGCCTGCTCCTCTTGCCTACATACCACTTTCACCATCCTTTAAAAGAGAGGCTCTTCCCGACTTTTCCTTTGCCAGCGGACAAAAATCTCCTGAGCCCCTGAGAGCACTACTTAGCATCTCTGCATCTCCATGGGGAGCTCTGCAGATGCTGGGAACGCCCCTGCCCCCCGGCACCCTCAAGCTGTTGGGTCAGCCCTGAGATGAGCCTGCACTGTGCAGTGGCTGAAGGAGAAGACTGAAACTGCTTTACTCCCAGCAATGTTCGGGGCACCTCACTCTCACGGGCAGCCTGTGGCTTGGCACCACAAGCAAGGGTCCCGGAGGGCAGGATGCTTAGGTTAGAAGGGGTCTGTGCAAGGCCAAGGGATGCCACTGCTGGTGCTGGCTCCCCGTATGGAGGGGAAGAGAAGTACAGAGAGAGAGAGAGTCAGCGAGAAGGAAGAGACAACAGAAAGTCTTGAGAAATAGAAAGATTTATTTAGCAAAAGCCAGTCGACTAATGACAACACCCAAGGGTTAAGTGCACTTACATTGACAGACTGGTTTCCCAGACAGATTGAGTCAACAGTTAGTAACACGACAGTTGTAGGAAAAGAAAGGACAAAAATATAGCTATAAAACCCCAGTCAAGGTCCATAACAAAAGTGAGAGGCTAGAGAGGCGTCTTGGAGGCAGCGCTGAGTTAGGAGAGAAGGATCATTTACACATGTACATCCGTTGTGCGGCAGGAGACTGGCAGGGTCCCACCTGGCTCTGGCAGTCCCTCTCAGCCCATGGGGCATCCACCACTGTCCCCTGTGGGCAGAGTGCTGGGCAAGAGCCCGAGCTCACAGCTGGTCCTGACAGCTCCTCGTGGGGCATCGCCCGGGCTGCCCGTGTGCAGCAGGGACGGGCAGGAGCAGTGGCAAGGGGAGAGGCTCAGCCCTGCCTGCTTTCTGAGGCAACCCAGTGTGCAAGAGACCTCTTGCCTGCTGCTGCTCCTCCTGGGCACCACCTTCATCTGTCCTGTGCGTACGGCCGAGCTCCTGAGGTCCCCTCTCCAGCACGACCCATCTGCCCACGTGGAAATCCCTCTCTGAGCTCACCTCCACCTCTCTCTCTTGGTGGGGACCAGCCCCCCACTCCTTGCCTACACCTCCAGCTGCTGCAAGGTGGCAGGGGGAAGTCAGGGCCCTCGGCAGAGAGGCTGGCACAAAGCGGCACACGACAGGGTGTATAGAGGTATCGGTGCCCAGAGGACAGGAGCACCTGGGACACCCTGCAGCCAGCACCAGCTTCCACTCTGTCCCCTCTGTGGTTGGTGTGGGTCATCCCCTGGACACCAGGCCACTGCTGGGCACACTACAAACATGTCATTCCTTCCCACTAGGACTCTAGCTCCTCACAGCATCCAGCCTCCTCCTGTAGTGCAAGCTGCATAGCACAGCTCATACTGACCGTGGGGGGTCTCACTCTCATCTCACTCCTCAGCAGCCCTCAGTCCCAAGGGGACCAGGGCAGAAAGAAGTGATGGACCTTCCTCAGCTGCTGGGCTAAGCCCTGGAGGAGAGCAAGAGCTCGTGTCTGGGAGATGCTCAGCTAGGGGTTAGTTGCAGGCAGATCTAGCAGAGACAGAGCTGGAGAAGGCAAGAGCAGCATGGAAGCAACAAAGTGAAGCAGAAGCAGGATAGAAGGGTGGATGGTGAGGAAGACAACTATGCCAGTCCCCACTTGGTTGAATGTTTCCACAAGGAGCAGGGGACACACCAGGACTCTGGTTCATACCCCTTCAGCCACGGCCTCTTTAGAGGCCGCAGCAACAGGCAGCTGATAAATGTGCTTGCAGAAAAGAAACAAGCTCTGGATCCCTTGGAGGCCCCCACAGACAGCTCTCAGCCATGGGTGTCTTGGGGTCTGGTGGAGGATCCTGAGATCTTGGATTCACTTTTCTGGAGGGCAAACCAGAGATGTAAAGGACCTCCCCTGCAGACACCAGCAGTTCACTCCCCATTGAGGGGTGGCAAGCGTGCCCATCCCTGCGCATAGCCAATGCCAGCACTGCATCCCCCAGCCCTGGTCTGGGGGCAAACAACTGCTTGGAAATGGGAGGGTTTGTCTATAAAGCAAAGCAGGGAGTTTGAGGTCCGGGGAAGTGCTTGAAAACGTGACTTGAGAGCACCAGAAAGGCTTTGAAGCCTGGCAGCCATGCAGAGGAGCCCAACGACTGGACAATGAGGGGAAGGACACCTCACAGCCCCGTGCTGCGTGCCCTGGCTCCCTGCTCCGTGCCTTCCTCTCCGCTCCACAGCCTGGGAGAGGAGCAGGCAGTGCCCACATGCCCTCCACCTGCCTCAGGCAGGGACAAAGCCTGTCCTGGAAATGCCACCCTGCCAGGAGCTGCCTGTGTCCGACCACCCCGCACAACCTCATCCCTTCACCTCCTTCCCAGGCTCATCTCCACTGACCCCCGCTGCCTCACCTCACTCACGCACCCACGCCGACAGTGCACCGTCACCAACCCTAACGGTCCCACTGGCATGGCTCTGGCCTCATCTCCCACCCTCTTTACCACGCAGAGAGCCAGGCCCCCTGCCAGTGGCTCTGTCCCTGCTCACCGCCCCAGCACTGCCTCCTTGGTCCCTCTTGTCCTCGCTCACTGCTCTGTGCCTGCTCTCTCATTCCCCCAGCAAAAACCTCCATCTGCTTTACTGCTTCCCCACCAGCAGCAGTGGCTAGTCTGGCAGGGAGTCCCTTGCTTCTGCCTGACCTCAAAATGCAGCTTGCAGGGGGACAGGGACCAGGGGGCAGCAGAAGCTGTCAGCTCACTGTCCGACGCGAAGTGGGGACGCTCCAGCTCAGCACACAAGCCCATGCACACTGGAGCACAGCATGCCCAGCGCACACCCTCGGCACGGCTCCGTCCTCACCTCCGCCGTGTGCTGGAAGCTTCACGCTCCGTCCTCTGCCACGTCTCCCTACGGGCTGTCCCATCCCTGCCAGGGCCAGGGGGCTACGGCCACAGCCCGCCCCAGCTCCGGTGGGTCCCAGCTGCTCCGCACCGCCTCCTGCTGACCCCTACACTGCGATCTCGTCCTCCAGGCTGTCACCCAGGTCCTGCCTGGGCTGGACGTGGAGCAGGCGCGGTGGTTCCTCCTGGGACCAGGAGTCACGCTCCTCGCTCTCGTCCGTGTTGGACTCGTACTCGGAGGCGATGCCCGACTCGCGGAATTTGATGAGCTCCAGGCTGCCCAGCGCCGGCTCCGGGGCAGGCGGCCCCGAGTCCGGCAGAAAGCGATAGCACTCCAGCTTCACCAGACAGTCGTTCCTACCTATGGGGCTGCCCAGGGCACTGGGGAAGCCCGAGCTGGGGCCCAGTGGCGGCTGGTGCGTGTCCTCGGGCTGCGGGGTGGTCGGGTCGCAGAGGACAGGGAGGACGTTGGAGCGAAAGGTGATCTCCAGCAGACTGTCCTGGGAGCCTGCTGCAAGAGAAGGGCACGGCTGAGAGGCAGGCAGTGGCCCCCCGGGCTTTCCGGGGGGTCCCC